GACACAGGAAAACATAATTGGATGGGTAATAGATGTAAAACCCTGGGTAAACAGACTCTGAGAATTTGGTTTCAAAGGTGTACAGATGAACAAGTTTGTCACTATTAGAGGAAGCATCGTAGAAGGACAAAGTGCCTGCAGGCCAATCCAGATACACACCAACTCTGCCCAATCTAGTGAGAGAAAAAACCATCCTCACCTTATTATCATGGTATGCTACAAGCCTTTTATAAAACATGTCTACAAAAGGCATGAAGGGTTTTATTTTAGACACAATTTTGTAAAGTGCGTCTCTCAAAGGAACAAAGGATTCACTTTTATCCACACCAAAATACCAGGATATCTTGTTACATCCAAGCTCTAAATCATTCATTCTTCCCTTCCTTCCAATTTCTTTGTATGCAACAGCTATGCGAACATCACTCGGCATATAACCAGCACTCCACTCTACTTCCCAATAGTGGCGACCAGTCAGCGGCTGTTTGCACAGAACTTGTGTATGTCCATCAAATCTCTGTGGGTGATCTGGATAGGTTTGCCACGTCCCACATGTTGCCTTCTTGTTGTCTTCAGATAGAGTGAGGTAGTTATTTGCAGTGTCTGGGTCCAGAGTGAGATGACAGTAATCTGAATGAAAGGCAAAAACACAATCTTTTAGGAGTCATCTACATAATCTTCCACTTCAGTCAAGTAACTTCTAATATTAAAAAAAACTATGTTTGGTTTTTGTTGATAGTTACAACAATGCCTTTAAATGTTTGATGATTTTGAAAACTAGCAATCTAGGAAGTAAATACTTACTCCAAAGAAAATGACTTCGCTTTTTTATAGTTCTGGGATCCCGTATCTTGGGCTTTGAAAAATTATCAGTAATCATTCTGCCCTCCTTGTACTGATAAATGGTGGCTCCTTTGTAATTCTGGTGTTGTATAGCTGCTACAAGGAAACAGAGCTGGGTGCTGTTCTTGTATGCTCTGTAAAGATCCATGAAAAAATCTGTTACTTTTTTCATATGATCCAAGGTATCGTCTAAATAATACCATGGGTCTTCATTGGCCATTGCATCAAGGTTGAGGTCAGCATTTTTCAAACCGGTGAAAACAAAGCAAAATGCATGATTTACACCTGTGGCAAGTACTGCTCTATCTAATTCTGACTTATTTTGAACAATCTTTATTCCCTCCATCCTCCCTAAAAATGACGTGATGATGTTGATTTCTCTCTCTATATAGTCAAGGCACTTGCTAAGATTTCCCAGATTGTATGGTGACTTGTCTAAGTCATCAAAAACGTTGTTCAGTGAGCTCTCATCCGCTCTACCTTCACGAATGGAGGGAAGCACTCTTTTCAGAGTTCGTTGGAAGTCAGATATTTTATCACTACACAACTTCTGAAAGTTTTGTAGGTAATGTTTGATTTGTGGGAAATGCTTCACCACCACCTCATCCAGAGAGTCATTGCATCTCTCTTTCATCTCCTTTAGAGCTTCCAGAGTATCTTCAATCCTCCTTAGTGAGTCAACGCTGATGTCTTTTACCAGCTCTGCACCTCCATACCCTAATGTCTTCAGTGGCGTCAGCCAAACTTTTATAGGAACAGCATTTTCACCCTTTTCCTTCAGGATCCTTGGCAGTTCTGCAATGGTCTTCATTGCTTCTTCAAATGTTGTAGGGTTGCTGTCCAGAATGAAGTCTCCAAAGAATTTACAGGAGAATTTCTTG